ACTTTCGCGGATTATTGTTTTCCTTTCGCGGACCCATCGCGGATCTTTCGCGGACACTCTATTTCACATGTTAAACCCGTTTTATATCATTCCCACACAAGGACCTTTAGATCAATGCTCGAACATGACGACATCAAACCGGCATGTACCAACCGACCCCGCCTGTGGACAGGACTTTGGGTTGTCCGACTTTGGAGGATACTTGGAAGCCCCTCGAGACTGCCGAAACGTATGGGAGACATGAACGAAGTGTGTTTGGAGTGGCCAGCACGAAGTCGTGCGAATCTGCCACAGATGTCTGGATGCCCTTTACTAGCCCAATCCACTGACTCAGCAGCAAATCCTTGCTTGCTGTTTCTTTGATTGCCATAGTCCCCTGCCTCTCTTGACACGATGGTGAGGCCGTGGGCACGTGGGGCGGCTTTTTAAACATGGCGGTTGACTGCGTAATATATGTACTGATTTCGCCCTGTTTGTGTTGGCATAAGGAGCAAATGGACAGGCCGTGTATGTTTCCCAGATGAACTTGCTCCTGAAGAACAACCAATTGTTCCTGGGTCCCCCTACTCTCCTCTTGCCAGTGTGGAACATCTGTGCCGAGTTTGGCTAGTAACTTACTTGGCGTAAAGGTTGCTGGGGCGTACGCATAATGTCAAGCCAGCTTCGCTCGTTTTACCATCAACATTTCTGAAAAGAGTTTCAAAATTTTCGTCCGCCTAGTTCTGCATTAGCTCTCCCAATGACTCTTGCGTTCGTATTGGCTCTGTGTACATAAGTGGTATCCATTCTTAAAAACCTTCCGTAAGCCTCCTGCGCTATTGTTTTTCGCATGGCTTGTGTCAGATGTACAGTTTCAAGTAGTTTCCAATGCTTTAGAGCAGTTTGCGGATTTACAGACAGCGTTCAGCTTGAACCATAATTTGAGAGTTTGATGAATTTTACGGTTGATTTCATACCTGATCTGAGAGTTTGATGCATTTTATGGTTGATTCATACCTGATGTCCATAGCCTGAGTAATGTGATGTCCTAAACAAGTTACCTCATTAACCCTTTGCAATCGCGTGCCATCTGCGAATTTAATGATGTTGTTACCGCTCATTGCAATATATGAATATTTGTGTCGCTTTTCAATGTTAGCCGAAATTGAGCTGATACCTTCTCTATTTCGTGCAACAGGTTCTTGCGTGCTTGCGTGCATGTTGTGATTATACGTGTGTCGCCAGCATAATACACTCTGTCAAAGTCAAGTCCTTCGAACCGTGCAACAGACAAATACAGTGAAAGCGGACAACCCTGTCTAATACCTGAACTCTGAACTATTTTGTCTTATGCACCGTATTCGTCTTCGACACAGAACTTGCTTGGCTTGCTGTTGGAAGAGCTGTAACACCCAGCAGAGCACAAACAGTTGTCACCCGTTCTGCAACATCACGGGACATCCACACAACATCAAACGACGAACTAATCGATTACCGGAGCAGACCACGAGCCAGTCCTCTCTTGTAAACACCGCTGTAGTCTGTAGTATTGTATGACCCCTTCTGAGGCCCTCCACTCAGCCGACACCCCTTCTGCACAGTGGGGATCGGATCCTGATTGCAGCGATGATCCCACGCAGAGCACGATTTCACTTCTGACACTGCGATGTTCTGTGGTCCCATCTGCTGGGGGCCCGTCTGAAATCCATTGTTTGGTGGATGTCCGATTTGGCGTAAGCTGCCCTTGGCCAAGCTCAGGGTTCAAGTGCAATCCTTCACAGCCAGTTGTTCCTGCCTCTACCGATCTTAGGCCTCCTGCGCAGGCCACAGCTTCAGTGCGTCAGCCAGCGGTCGCAGTCGTGCCAAAGCTCCTCCAAGCCTCACGGCTTGCTTCTGAAAGGCAAGCGGCGGCAAGCGTGTGCTTCCAGCTCTCCAAGCCCAAGCACCAGGCGAGGCCAGCTGCGGTGCCTTGCAAGGCACAGGCTCCGTCGAGTCTTGTGCTATGAGGCTCAACACGCCGAGCCTTCGGAGGACCTGCAAGTACCACGAAGGAAACGCATGAAACGCTGAGCAGCACGGCGAAGCCTCAGTTGACTTTGCGATTCCGCTCAGGTGCCCCCTGTTTCTTGGATCAACGCCTGTCCTTCCATTCCTTCCCGAGCACACGAAGCGAAACTATGTCTCTGCTCATTCTGTGCTATCCGAAGGCACTGATCAGCTTCCAGATCCCAGGCGCTAAGATGCATAGATAGTCCATGCCAGCAGCCCGCGAACATGTACCTACTGTCACAGACATGGCAATGGGTTGCAGGATACAGCTGGATGTCATGCAAAGGCCCTTTTTGAAACATCTGCAGTCACCACCGGCAGCAGAACTATTGACGTGGGCACGGAGGGTGCATTGCAGTGCAATTGGTTTCCGGCTCAGGCTCAAGGATGCAATCACTCGCCCCCATTGGCATAATAGTTGTGGTCCGCCGGACAGCTTGTAGGGCGCTCGCTGCAGAAGCCTTTGTCCAGTTTCGTGCACATACCTCAGGGGAACCGGAGCAGAGTGTGTAGAAAGCCTTCGTGCTCGGACGAAACATGTGATTTGTAAGCCCGTGCCTTTGTACGCTTCGCAAGCACGAGCGGAGCAGATGTCGACCACGAACGTCGTCTTGCCCAACAACGATATGCGATTCTTTTCAATCCTTTGAATGGGCGGTAGTCTCCCACAGCTGGGTCCGAGGGGGCACCTAAAGAGTGTGTGCATGGAAGAAGGGTGTTGACCCTGATTCAAGACTTCGACAAGGCAGGACAGCCAAGAGTCATCTTGCACTTGCAGCACTCCTCCCCTCTGAGTGAGTCAACTGCTGCATTGTAGACACCTCGCAGCTTCCACATCGGATCTTCTACCCTAAACCGACGGGTACACCGACGCTTCTAAAGCCGAGCTGCGGTCACGAAAGCTGGCCAACCTCAGGAACTCGCATTGGCAAGACAGGTACGCGAACCTGTAGATTGGGCGGAGGCACTTAATGAGTTGTTTCTCACGCCAAGCACGTTGTCGCTCAAGGTCGCGAGCATGGTTCTTCCTCCTTGCCATCAGGAAAGATCAAAATAGTTTTCCCAGACGCAGAACACGCCCCATCATGCCCCAGACCCCAGCCCACATGGCCACGAGCAAAGTCCTCTGCTCGGCATTCAAATCCTGGATCAGCTTGTCACCTAAAGGGGAGACACAAGGCTGAGCTCTGTCTGTGGCCTTTGCTTCCAGAAAGCTGTTGTGCCACGGACTTATCATGCGCATCATGATCTCGTGCTGACGGTCCACGCGCTTTTCTGCTGGTCGCAGCGGATGTGGCCATAGCCGTCATTTGCATTTGAGCATCCACTTCTTGCTGCGTTACGTCTTTGCCCAATATCCCGGACTGCACCACCGCCTGCAGCGGTTTGTTCAATTCAATGGATTCAATGCACTAGAGGGAACAGCATGCTCGAACCGGACCAGCAGACCCCCGGGTAACCCTCCTTCAGGTCGTTCAAACACACCTTCTTGTGCGCGATGCTGCAACTGTCGTAGCACTCATCGGACAAACCTTCCAAGATGGCAACCTGCTCAGAAAGCCACTGCGTTTTCGGTGCAAGCAAGAAACTTGAAAACACACACACAGGCATGTCATTACAGGTATGATCCTGCTGCCATACCTCGCATGCAACCGATATGAAATCGTCACGAACTGATGCACGCCCGGAAAACGTTGAACCCTGCCTGCCCGCGAAGCTGCTTGATTCTTTCGTCGGAGCTGCCTCAGTTCTTGGGACCGGCATGTTTTTGTTGTTTGTGTGGGTATTGGTATTACCACCTACCGCCTAGCTCTACAGCTACTGCTGCTACTACTACTACTGCTGCTGCTGCTTCTTCTTCTTCGTGGCGCGAACGTCCGAAGGCGTCCTAGCGTGGCTATATAAGGAAGGGCGTGTCTTGGACACGGCTGTACGCGACAGCATAACCCAGCTGATTCAGCTTTATCATTAACACAAAAACATGCAGACGGGATGTGCACACTCGCCCGGGCCGACAGCCCCATTCAGCGACGAGTAAAGTGCTTGCCATAGCAGTCACTTTAATTATTTGTTTGTGAGCTTTCATCTCACTGTTCGGAGCAGCCTCTGTGGACTGCAACTTCAATCAAGAACTACTGTGGCACTCATGCTCTCACTGGCTGCGAAATGTGGCAGCTCATGCATCTTTGAAGTGAAATCACCGCGAAATGTGGCGGTCCGCATAATTGAAATCAGAGGAATGCTGTTTGTTTTGTGCACTCTTCCAGTGCCTCTGCCACCATGGCTGTCTGGTCATGACCTCGGCGCATAACTATGTTGCAGCTTGTGGAATCTGAACAACAATCAAACGCACAGCCATGCCATCTTTGTACCAACTCGCGGTCGAGTCGAGTAGGCAAAACAGCCCTAGGCTGACCTCCATTCCCCAGGTCTGAACCCCATGCGCATCAAATCATTCTTGATTGCTGAATCCATGTGTGCACTCATGCCTGTGTGGTAGGCTATCAGAATGATTCTGTTGCCGCTCCATGGTAGAGTGGCATGAACTTGGTGTGGAGAAAAGGATGTCGCTTCACCTGCAGTCAGAATATGGCCTGGCTTCCCTCCTGCTTGTAAAGTGTGTAGTCCTTCGCTGTCTTCCACAAATAGTTCGCCTCCTTGAAAAGCAGAAAACGGCAACATTAGATTTCTGGAGCCTGGTTCATTGTACTTGTCTTTGTGAGGCTGCGCTTGAACATTACATGAGAGGGTCGCGGCGTTGAACCTGAGTCTCGCGTCCCAAGTGCGCACAATGCCGGCCAGCACTCGGGTGGTCCATTGATACTGCCTTGCATGGAGTGTGGTACCATGCATGGGGCCTCTCACGTACGCCCCCGTGGTGAACCTTCTGGGCCCGATTTCATCCGCTGGCCGCCTGTCCTGTGGCCAGCGCAAAGAGCGATCAACCGGCAGCATCATCATTAACCTCGCCAGCTGAGTCCACGTCGCCTGACCACTGCAGACAAGTCCAAACGCTAACGCCTCTGCAAGATTCTCCTCAGGCACCGGAAGTCCCTCACAGCAAACACCTCTAATCAGATATGTTTGTCTCTGGAAGTACTCATGCTTGAGGGCCTCCTCAGAAGCAGTTAACCCACCAGCGCCAACCATGTAGATGTTGTGATGCTGTTGAAACTAAAGCCTTCTTAGGCTTCCTCCCCACTACTCGCACAAAAGGACTTTTCCTTCTCTTGCTGGGGCTGTCTGCTTAAGCCTCCGTGTCAC